TCCCGAACAACTGCAAGGGCCAATGTTACATGGCGGTCTGGACCAACTCCACCGTAGACGGGGTGACCAAAATGACAACGTGGACGCCCGGCGACCAGAATTTTGCCGATTTCATCGACTTCGAGTACAGCAGCTCCACGTACCTGATCGGTCTGGGAGCACGTGATGCGAGCGTCTGGATCATCAAGCTCGACGGCGCCGGGGATGTCGAAGGCTACTCATACAGCCGCGTCGTAGTCGACTACACCGGGTCCACAAGCAGCAAACGCAACATGAATGGATTCGGTGCTGGGTTTCGTTATGGCGACCGGATTTACGTGCGCGCCACCACCCCCCACACAACCCCCCACACACCACTACCACCTCCTCCTAAACACACCACGCCCGACACGTGCACCCGCGCCATCCTCACCCCACCTCCCTCCCCCCTCACCCCACTGCGACAGTTCGCCTCAAACTCTGGATCCGGAATCTTCGAGGTGGAGTTGACCTCGCTTACGGCCGTTCTCGACCGTACCGGGGACGACGCGTGCGCCTTCGAGATGAGGGACCCCCCAACGACGCTCCCCAGAGCAACAACAGGCAAGCGAGTCTGCGCGCAGGTGAGTGGGACGACCGCGGTGTCCCCAGCTCCCATCCCCATCACGCTCAAGTGGGTGGCAAAGGCCGTCGACGAAACCCAACTGAACGACGGCTTCAACTGCCCAAACGCCACTGATCCCTTCACCGCACCCCGATCGCCGCCGTCGCCGCCGCTGCTGCCGCCGCCGTCGCCAGTTGGGGCAAACGGCGATCCCCACCTGGTGCTGGCTCACGGAGGCAAGGCGGACTTCCGCGGCACCGACAAGGGCATCTACAACTTCCTCTCGGCCAAGAACCTCTCGCTCAACGTGATGACAGAGTTGGCCGACTTTTACCTGCACGACACGGACCACCCTCGCCACAAGCTCGTGCACGGCTCCTTCCTCACGCAGGCGCACGTCGTTGCGCTGACCGGCGGCGGGCGCACTGTGCGCGCTTCGTACTGGGCGAGCAAGATCGGGCCGCTCAACATCGGGTGGATCAACGCGACCATCGACAACCAGCAGGCATTCTCGCTCGGGCCGCACACGACCAAGGTGGTCGACGACGTCTCGCTGCACATGGACTACTCCTCGCTGCATGTCACCACTGGCGAGTGGGAGCTGGCGGTCATGCCGCAGGCTGTCCAACGCTCGGTGGCGGGGCCCGCGCGGCGCATCGATGTGCAGATGACACCGCGCGTCGCCGAATCCAAGTTCTCCGTGCCGCCCCACGGCGTGATTGGCCAGTCGTGGGACGGCGACAACAAGGCCGTCTTCGGTGAGGAGGACGAGTTCCCTGTGCGCGGCGAGTACACGACGAGCGCGATGGCCGAGGGGGCTGTCGAGGGCGTGCCGACCGACTACCTGATGTCCTCACCCTACGCCACGGACTTCAAGTATTCGCGCTTTGGACTCGACCATGCCTCCCCGCGCGACGTGTCCAAGCTGACCGGCCGCGTCGGGGCAGCTGTGCCTCTGGCTGGTAACGGTGCCGGCGTCATGGAGAAGGAGATGGAGCTGTTGGCAGGGCAGGTTGCCTGAGCGCTGCGAGGGACTAGCTGCGCATAAAGCCGTATTGACGCAGGGCGATCGGCCCACGGTCTCCGCCCTCGGGCACCAGCGGCAGCGTCCAGCGAGCATTTCCCCGGTGTCGATATAGTTGCCGTACTCGAGAGAGTGGCGGTGTCCGGGGAGAGGGCCGCCGGGCCGCGCGGGCCGCACACCGCGCAGAGGCGGCAGGCGCACTTGAGTGGCATGGACCGCGCCACTCACCACATGGACATGGACATGGACATGGTCCATGCCACTCACCCAGAGCCAGAACCTCTTTGATCTTTGTGAGTTTCTCTCTCTTGTGCGTCTTGGGACGACCACTTGTCCGCGGGGCGAGCTCGGGCGTCGCGGGGGGTCAGGGGCCGGCGGTTACCAGAATAGTACACGTATTGTGCGTCGTCCCCCGTCCCCGTCCCGGGGTCCCCGCGCGCTGCGGTGTGCGGATGGCACAATGACTAGTGTCTAGTGAAATGGCATCTTGCTTTACGGCTTTATGACGGAGTGGAAACGTTGCAAAGGATCTCAGGGCCCCTCCACGGAGGTGCGCCGGGGCGTCTTCGGAGTATGCGAGGACCGGCGGCGGGTCCGAATACACGGCGCCACCCTGCGCCTGAAGTGCTGCATGCGACAAGGACAACGCGCAGCCCTCACGCTGCCTCGGCGCGCGTGCGCAGCTGCTGGCGGAGCGAGTCGCGCGTGCGCAGCAGCTCGGCGTACCGCGCCTGCAGCTCCTCCTCCTTGGAGGTTTGCACCGAGAGCAGCTCGGAGAGCTCCTCCGCCCGCTGCGGCCCGGCAAGCGCCTCGCGGCCGCGCAGCGCCTCGAAGCAGGCCAGCTCGATGCGCCGCTCCGCCACCGCCGCGTGCTGCGCCTCGATCTCCTTGCCGAGGGCGGCGGCGCGCTTCTTGTACCCGCCGAGCAGCACGTCCAGCTTTTTCTCCGCCTTGCCCGCGCGCTTGGCGTCGCGCGCCATGAAGTTTTTGAGCAGCTGCAAGGCCTGCTGCGGCGCCTGCAGCGCCTCGGCGGGCGGCACCGACGCGATGGGCGCGTACCGCTGCAGCGAGGGCACGTACGAGAGCTCGCCGCCCGCCGCCTCGGCCGCGGCCCGGACAGACGCCTCGTCGAGCGGCGGCGCGGCGGCGGCGAGCGACGCCGTCTCCTCGTCGAGCATCGCACTCGCCGCCGCCATGTCCTCCTCGGGCAGCGGCCTGAGCGGGCGCCGCTTCTTGCCCTTGAGCTCCGGCGCGCCCGGCACCGGGTACGACGCGGCGTCCGCCTCAAGCATGCGCACCTGCGGCGGGGAGGGGGGGGGGGGGGGGGAAGGGGGGGGGGCATTCCCGCTCCGGCGAAACTGCCGGGGGGGGTCCCCTTTTTGCCCCCTCCCCTGGGGGAAAAGGGGCGGGGCGGGGCAAAACGGGGTGGGGCT